CGGCAGAGCATCTGGTGAATTTGAACCATGTGCCTCTGCGTGCCTCTGGGATTGTAGTTGCAGCTCCTTACCACTAGGCCACCAGAGCGCCTCTGTATAGGTCTTTTGTGTCTCTAGTTAAGTTCACTTTGTGGTTGGCTACTGTAAATGGTATTGCTTTTCTGAGTTCTTTTTGTTACTGTGAAGGAATCCCACTGATTTTGGGACATTGATCTTATATCCTGCCACTCTTCTGAACTTGTCTATTAGCTCTAGCAGATTTTTTGTTGCATCCTTGGGGTTTTATGTATACAGTATCATGATGACGGCCTTTTGCTTCTACTGGGAAAATGTTCTTGTGTTGAGAACATGAGAAAATGTTTAACGGTGAAATGTCTTGGTGTCTACAGCACTCTCACAAGGATTTAACAAAATAAATATGCATATATCAAGAAAGATAGCAAAAGTGGCTCAACATTTTCAAAGCAGGGTGAAGGGAATACCATAGGTAAGTGCCCGCTTAGTGATTGTCTCAACAAGCCCAGGAAGAGTGGCGGACACCAAGCACCTAAAGGTGGAGAGTCCTGAGGGCGTGTTTGAAAACTGGTTTATGGACAGAAGAAGCAAGGCATAGATGGGGGTGGGGGACAATTGAAGGTATGAGACAGAAAGAACTTGGGATTTGGAGGCAAAACACCTGAATCTGTTTATTAGGTGGTGAGTTAACTCAACCATCCTGCACCTCAGAGTCTGGACCGAGGGAACAATGATGTCCACATCTTGAGGCTCAAGTGAGAATAGGGGTGAGAAAGGCCTAGGTCGCCTGGAGCATCTGCCGAATTAACTCACCCAGGAACTGCCTTGCTCAGAACAAACGGGTTCCAGGTTCAAAAGTCCTGAGAAGGAACAGGACGAGGACACAGGTGAAAATGTAGGTGACGAGGCCATGGAACCATGGCACCCTGGCACATGCCTGGCACACGACAGGGTTTGCTGAATGATCAGTTCCATGAAGGAAGCCCAGCTAAGAGGTGGAATGAAGTGAAGGGTAAGAACTGAAAGAGAAGTAGGGCTTCCCTCCTGGGGACACTGGGGTGAGTCAGTGTGGAGCCCAGCAAGGATCCCCAGTACTCCCTCTGGTGCTGCCTTTGCCCCAGAAAGGGGCCCTCCACCTGGCCAAGCAACCACTTACGGAGGACCCACACGTCCCTAAGCATGCTGGGAAGGCTCTGTGGCTGCTGGGAGGCGGTCTCTGGTGGTGCCTGTTATTTCTCCTATTGGACTGTGGAACCCTGAACACTGCCCCTCGCTCATCCTGTCCCCGTTCTCTGCACAGTGCTAGACACAGCACGAGGGTCTGATCACCTTCAGGGGCACCTGGACTTGGATCTGCTCTGCCACTGCCTCAGTTTACCCAGAACCCACAACACAGGTTAGTAGTACAGTTATCTCGTGGACTAGGCCACTGAGAAGGATGCTGAGAGCTCCCTAGAACTCAGAACATAGGGTGATCCACTTCTGCCTGCATCTGACAGGAGGCATCAGTGCCAAAAGGAAATACTCCCTGTCTAGGAGTAGGTAGATCTGGGTTCAAATCCCGGCACCACGGCTTGCTAGGAGCACTCGAGCTTCCCATCACACTGTGACCATTTGCTCAGCTGTAAAGCTGGGCTGAGTGTATCCTACTTTCACGATTATTACAACAGTGACAAAACCCAAATAGCCACTGTGCAGTTTGTTGGTTCATTGTCTCTCCCCATGCCTCTGCAAGGCAGGGCTTTGGTGGTGCTCACCGCTGTGCCCCAGGGTTCTGCCTGGCACTTAGGGGCTCCCTAAACACATGTTGGTGGAGTGAATGGGCAGATCAGGCATCTAGTCAATGGGGGCTCCTGCTGTATTCCAAAACTTGTCAGGGAGGGGGGACCATGTTGAAATTTATAGTGGTTGAGGAAGGAAGCTTTGGGAAACAAGAAATAATCTCAAAGGTTGAAGCACGTCCATCCGTCTGTCAGTCTGTCTGCCAGGCAATGAAAGCCATCAGGGAAGCCGGGTTTATCTAGACCCAGAGGGACAGGCATAGCCACAGGAGATAGGCAGGTGAATCCATGGGTGTGGTGGGTGGGGCACGGGAACTCTTGATGAAGGAGGGCCAACGCCTCTGGCCAGGTGGGAATCTGGGTCTAGTTTGCCAGCAGGTGAACGTACAAAAGAAGCCAGTGGAAAGCAGTTTATTTTAACACACACACAAATGAGAACAACCAGCAAAGTCCATCAGGAAGAGCCTTGTGACAGGGCCCAGGCCCCCCAGCTTAGGAGCAGGAGTGAAGGCCGGTGGAGCTCCTCGGTGGCCTCCCTCCACAAGGTCCTGGTCTCTCTCGGCCTCTCCAGAAGCCGCAGCCAGAGACTTGAGCTTTCTCATAAAGGCAAGGACAAAGTCACTCACAGCCCTGGAAGCAGTCACTGTCTGAGTTCTTGGCTCATAGGGCAGCCAGATGTTGGGATTTCTGGGTTTAAGGCATGTCGGAGCCAGCTGGGGCTCATGTGAAGGATTCTTCTAGTCTCCAAGTCCCAGGAAGCAGCTGCAAGTGGGGAGATGGTCAGTCCTTGTCCTTGAACAAAATTCTTTGCTGTGATTTTGAGCTCAACCCTCCACCTTCCCAGCCTCTTCTGAAAGATGGGCATAAGAGGGGCATTGGGAGAATCAAACGAGATTACCAGGATAAAGAGGTTTCTGGGACGCAAAAGTGCTTTACAAATGCAAGGTGTCACCATCCTCGTTGTGGTCATTATTATGAGCAAGACGGCTTTTTACAGAGAAGGAGGAGGTCTGGGACGCAGGAGGGACAAACAGGGAATTTACATCACAAGGAGGGTCTGGGTCTAGATCACCAGCGCTCACATGGAGAGAACATTTCAGTGACTCCAGGACAGACGCAGTCTCCAGACACAGGAATCCACGTGACCGTGTCCCCCACCACCTGATGTCTAGCTCAGCAGGGCCAGTCAGGCCAGGCTGTACCTCCCCATCAAACAGCCTCTGGCAGCAGAACCCACAAACCCCATCTGTGCTGTCCACGGAGTAGAGAAACTATATAAATAACATAAATATTTTCTATATATTTTAGCTATATAATTTATCCTCTTTTGCCCTAAAAACTAGATATGTGAGGTAGACAAAAATACCCTGTGAGTGTTTCCCTTAAAGCTGTGGAATGAGGGTTATCCTGGCCTCCGGGGCTCCAGCAGGGCTGAGATGGACTTGGGGGTGGCTGGAGGAAGACAAGGATTGGGAACAAGGATGGAAGAGGCTGAAGAGAATCTGTCCTTTGTCCACCCATGTGTGGAGTCGGGGTGCAGATGGCATGCTGTTGGGTCACGGTGCTCTGGTCCCGACCACAGCCGAGCCAGGAAGGATGAAGAGCTGAGAGCTGGGCCCTGGCCTTCACATGACGAGAGAGTAGGAGAATCTGCCCCCCGCCCCTTTGTCTCTTCCTGCCAGGCTGTGGGCCAGCTGCTCGGGCGTGCCAAGTCAATCCGCGAGGGGCCATCAGCATCAGTGTGGCTTCTCCTCACAGTCTGCAGGATCCTTCCAGCACTGAGGGCGCCCTGCTCCAGGTACCCTATACCTTCAGACACCCCGGGGCGGGGAGTGGGTGCTGATCCCAACATTTGGCTGATTCGGAAGTTTCCTGTTTCAGTGGAGGGTCAGAAACTCTGGGTTCAAGGTGAGAAGAAGCTGACAGAGGGGTGCGGTGGGGCCAGCAGAGCAGCCCTGGACTTCCGGTAGAAGGTCACTACCCCTGGCTGGCACTGGGCCCTACTCTGGTGCATCACGTGGCTTCCAGCAAAATCACCCCTGCAGGGTCTCTATCCTGAGCAGAGAGGTGCGTGCTGAGAGGTGAGAAACTTGTCCTGGCAAGGCCCAAGGGTGTGTGTGTGTGTGTGTGTGTGTGCGCGCGCGCGCGCACATGCATGCATTTCTCCCTCCTCCCACACAAGAGCCTTGGTAGAGGCACTGGGAAAGTCCCCTGGATGAGAGGAAGCCAGCAACTCCACTTCCATCCCTCAAAGAAGAGCCAAAGCAAGGGAACCATCCATCAAGGAAGAGGATTCTTGTGAGCTGGGTGAAAGGCTTCGTTAGATCAAGAACAGGCTTACAAACAGGATTATGACTCAGGAAGCAACACTCCTGCATCAGTAGCCTGGACATCAGCTGGGCAGAGCCATCACCCAGGCAGAGCCCAACCACGTGAGAGGACCAAAGCTGAGCTCACCATGCCCCTCAGGGGGCTGAGGGCAGCTCTTCCAAAGGGTTGGGCCCAAAGGTCCCCCTGGCTATTGGAGGAAAGGGAGGGGTCCCTGTCGCCCTGTACAGCCTCAGTGCCTGGGCTGAATCTCACCCTGGGGACAGCTCTGCCTGCCTGTCTTACTGCCATGAGCCCTCTTACAGACCAGCGCCTGGACTGTGTGGATGCCGCAGCTCTCGGGACAAAAACAGGGCCTCAATACACGGACTTTTCAAAAGCCAAATTGATGCACACTGCCAGGACACATCTTGAACTTCAGTCCACTCAAGGCCAGAAAACTTTCCTTTCTCCAAAGACCTCCTACCCCTGGCCTTCCTCTCCACCTCTAGGCCTGCTGGCCAGAAGCTCACCTCCCAGCATTCCGCTAGCTGCCAAGACCACCCAACCGGAGCCTCAGAACGGCAGATGCCCACCCGCTCTGCTCCCGGTCCTCCTGTTCCCTCTCTGCCCTCCCGCTCCAAGCCTCTCAACTCAAGAATCCTGGGTTGTGACATGGGGCCTGAACTTCTCTTTGCTGAGTGTTAGGGAGAGCAAGGGCCAGCCAAGGGGCAGCAGACAGGGAGTGGGGAGCGAGCTGCACTTGCGTGTGACTGTCACGGCCCCACTGTGTGAATGCGTGCACTGTGGGCTCCTGCCCAGAGGGGCCGGCTGGTCAGCTGGTGGCCTCCTTGGTGGATGGGCACTGTGAACAGCTGGCCACAGCGAGCCCTGGGCCTAGTGCTTGCAGGTATACACCAGCTCCTCCTGCACACATTGTTGGCACTCCACATAGCAGCACCACTGCACCTGACAGTGGCAAGAGAAGGCGACCAGGCGGCTCTGGGTGTCATAGCCACGTCCGCAGCACAGACTGCTGCAGCTAGCCTCCCGGGAGCACACTCGGCCCGCCGTCCCCGGCGAGTACTTGCTGGGCCGGCAGAAGCTGGGTGAATCCTCCATGTAGACCAGGTCTCCGGACCGGGGCACTAGGCCCTTAGCTGGGCCGCCGGGCCCAGTGGGTGTCCAAAGCTCCAGGCGGCCCAGGGCCTCGTTGGTGGCACTGGCCACCTTGACAGCTGAGTCGTAGCGCAGCTTCAGCACCTGGCCGGTCTCTCGGAACGGAGAGAGCTGCTTCCAGCAGGTGCGCACGGCACAGGAGCCCGACACGCCGTGGCACTTACACGTGGTCCTGAGGCCACTCTTCACAGCCTGCGGGGGCAGAGGTGGGGGGGTGTCAGAGGCCTCGGGTCCTTATCAGACGGCCTAGAGTCTGACCCTGAGGACCACCCCTGATGAAACGCAGAAGACGAGAAAGAGAAGCAAAGGGTGAAAAGGACCAAAGCCAGCCCACACAGCCCTGTTGTGCTAACTTGTGTAAGGCTTTCCTCGCTCTGAACAGCAGGATTCCTGGAAGCACTTAGCTGGTAACCAAAAGGTTGGCAGTTCAAACCCACTCAGTGGTTGTATGAAGGAAAGATCTGGAGATCTGCTCCCATAAAGACTGTAGCCAAGAAAAGCCATGGGCAGTTCTGCTCTGTCATACAAGGTCACTGAGCTGGAATGAAGTCTGGGCAGTGGCCATCCTGGGGCAGCGCTGCATTTTGGTGAAAGGAACACAGAGTTCCTTTCCTCTAAGGAGCACCCTGGTTGCACCCTGGGCATACTTGTTTTTTTCTCTTGAGGGACCATGGGACATAGAGTATTCTCCAACACCACAGCCCAATGGCATTGATTCTTCTTCTGTCATCCTGATTCATTGTCCAGCTTTCCCTAAAGGGCTGTTCTACTCTGATCAACAAGGTCATTATGAATCTAAATAGATTTACTGGCATTGAGTTTGAAGTTTGGGTTCAGATTTTTTCTTAATCTACAGGGGATCAAGTTGACAACAATAACTTGAAAGATGAACTAGGAAGCTTAGGGGGTGGTAAGCTCATGTAGATAGGGGGCGAGCAATCTGGAAAGGAGAGTGAGCATCATCAGGTAACTGGAAGTGTAATCCGTGCCGTTAGATTGTAGAAAATACTGAACTGGTGTATGTTCTGCTGTGTACATTCTCAACACCGTAGCCCACCAGCCCTTGCTCCTCACCCAGAGATCTTGGAGAGCAAGATCTACAACTAGCACCTTGGGACACAGAAGCCCTGGTCTAGCGCAGAGTTAAGGACGCAGAATGAGGAAGTCAGTTCCCTAGCAACTAGCCTTTCCAGCCTTCGCGTCTTTACATGCCTGGATGTTTGGCCACTCTGTAACTGTCTCCCTACTGGGTGATTTCAGCCATACCTTTCCCTTCTCTGGGCCTCCTCTATCTTCCCACCCATGAAAGAAGGACTGAGGCTACCTTAAAGAAACCATCACCACCACCCAAGCAGATATATGCACACCCATGTTTATCGCAATAGCAAAGAGCTGGAAACAACCCAAGTGCCCATCAACAAACGAAAGGATAGAGAAGCTCTGGTATAGTCACACAATGGAATACTATGCTGCATTGAAAAACAAGGAACTCATGAAATATTATGCAAAATGGATAACCCTGGAGAACATTATGCTAAGTGAAATATTGTCACAAAAGGACAAATATTACATAGGACCACGGTTGTAAAATGGGACTGACATCATGGTTGAGGGAAGACAGAAAAGGAGGAGAGGAATGATGTATATTGCCTTGAAACATATGAGGGAGAAATCGGTTTAAAAGGGATATATCAATGGGTATTCTTGTCATTAGAGAAGTCCAGAGTGAAGGCTGCATAGTGGAGTGAACTTGAGGGGGAAGGACTGCATAACAATGAAAGAGTTTTTCTTTTTCTTTTCAAGGAGAAGACTGAATTGGGGGAAAGGGGTGGGCAGGGAGAAAAGTGCAACAGTGAATGACTGGAAATCCTAAGTCTCTGTAAACTTTCATTAAAATTAATAAGTAAATTTAACAAAAAAAAAGGACTGAGGCTGTACTAATTGGAAGTTTTCCAATCATGTTGCCTTCCAGGACCTCCAGCAAGAGCCAGTCTTCAAGAATGGAGACCTGTCTCCAGACATACTCCATTCCCCAAGACCTGTTTCCAGCCAGGCTCCCACCTGCTGCCCAGTCACCAATGACACTCAGGCCGCTTCCTTCCATATGTGTGTGTGTGTCTGTGTGTCTGAGACCATAGCCTCTGCTGCTCAGCTCAGCACACTGACTGAGGAGGGCACTTTGGGAATCCAGAGACAGTCCATGCTCACCTTGATGCCCACGTGGGTGTTGTGGGCATCCGCCCGCGCCCGAAGGTCCTTGCTCCCTCGCTTGGACCCCAGGAAGTTGCTCAAGAACTTGGTGCTGTACTTGAGGTTGTCGCCACACACGCCCCACTGCCAGGCCTGCCGGCTCTCCAGACCCGGGGAGTCATCACACGTGCAGCGCTCCATGCGGCCAGCGCTGCAGGCCCGGGCCAGCGCGTGGGTGAGGGCGGCCGAGGACACTGCGTACAGAAAGGCTGTCTCCTTGAAACCTGTGCAGGTGCCCAGGGTGGAGGACAGGGAATCAGCTCAGAAGGCAACCGCAGCCTCAAGGCAATGACAGGACAGGGGTCTGTGGGTACTTCAACCACTACTTAAAACTGAAATTAAGGAGCCCTCACGGAGCACTGGTAGCCTAGTGGCAAGAAGTTGTGCTGCAATCCCTAGTGGTTTAAATCCACCCATTGCTCATCAGGAGATAGATGGGCAATCTCCTCCTGTATGATTAACTGCCTCAGGGTCAGCTCTGGTTTGGTTCCAACCCAGTGATACTCAGTAAGGGCACAAAAAGGATGGCCCAACGGGTTAAGTGCTGCTAAATGAAAGACTGGCAACTTGAACCCACCAGCCATTCTGTGGGACAAAGATGAGGCAACTTGCTTCCTTAAAGATTTGTTGCTATCAAATGCTGTCAAGTCAACTACGGCTCACAGCTCAGTGACCATATGAACAACAGATCTGAACCTTGTCCTATCCTGTGCCATCGTCACCATCTCTTATGCCCATTGTTACAGTCACTGTGTCGGTCCACCTCCCTGAGGGTCCTTCTCTCTTCTGCTGACCCTCCACCTTCCCAAGCATGATGTCCTTTTCCAAAAACTGGGCCCTCCTAACAACATGTCCAAAGTATGTGAGACAAAGCTTTGCCAGTCTTGCCTCTGAGAAGCGCCCTGGCTGCACGTCCAAAACACATCTGTTTGTTCTCTTGGGAGACCATGAAATATTCAGTCCATGAGAAGCTCTTCAACACACATCTCGAGTCTTCAAGTTTTCTGTCATCCTTATTCCCTATCCAGCTTTCCCTAAAGGGCAGTTCTTCTCTGACCGCTGGGGTCACTATGAATCTAAATTGACTCACAGATATCGAGTCTGGAGTTTTGGGTTTTTGTTGTGGTTTATTTTTTAATCTAAAGGGTATCAAACTGACAACAAGAAAGATTAGGAAGTTCAGGGGATAGTGTGAGCTTATGTTAATAGAGGAGGAACAATCTGGAAAAGGAAGGTGGGAGTCATTAATGGCAACTTGAAGAGTTACCAGTGTCACTAAAGTGTAGAAAATACGGAATTGGTGGATACTGCACTGTGTACAGTCTCAACATCACCATGAAAGAAAACCAAATTGTTTTCCAAAAGAAAAACTGAACATTACGATTTCAAATTTAAAATTAGCACAAAATGTGGGGATTTTAGTTTAGATTTGAGACTTGAAATGAACCTTTGAAATTGGCTACAGCTTTGTGTTCCCAGAGTCCCCCAGCACGCAGGTCAGGGCTCCTGTCCCCAACAAGCGTGTGTGCAAGCTGGGACGGAAAGGGCTTAGATGGAAGCAGAGCCGAGGTTAAATTCTGGACTCCTAGCTGATGTGCGAACAAAGTGGACTAAACCATTTCCAAGGCCTGGGCTGGCAGACAAGGCCTGGCCTGGGAGTGAGGGGGCGGGAGGGGCGCCTCCTCCCACGCCCACCTACCTCTCTTGAGCAGGCCGCTGCGCCCCTCCAGGCTGCAGTTCCAGCGCTCTTGTCGGAACTGGAACTGGCACTCCAGCAGGCCCAGGTGCGCCGCGTCGCGCAGGGTCTCGGCCAGGCCCGGCTCACGGCGGCACATCTGCTTCTGGCGCCGCGACAGCTTCAGCAGGTCGCACTGCTTCAGGTGGGCGCCTCCCTGCACCGGGGCTGCAGCTGTGCCTGGTCCCGGGAAGGGCGTCAGGACCTCTCGCCCAGTCAGACTGCAGAGGACAAGAGACAGGAGCTGAATGAGAACCGGGTCGTGGGGAGGAGGAGTCACGAGGATGACCACCCCTGAGGGCGTGAGGCCAGTGCGGGGAAGCAGGGTCTGCTCAGAGCCGTTCCTTCTGCTCACAGGCTGTCCAAGTGAGATCCAACCCACATCCCTGTCCCAAGATGCCTGCACCAAAGTCTGGTGCAAAACCCCAGCTATTCCACTACTTGGAATTTACCCTGAGAATATGAGAACTGAGGGACAAACTGTATAACAATGTTCATAGCAGCATTATACACCATCACAAGAATATGGAAACAGTCCAAGAGTCCAACCACAAACAATGGAATACTATGCAGCACGCAGGAGCAATAACTTTGTAAATAATTACCTAACTTGGGAGGGACTGGAGAGCATTATGCTGAGTGAGCTAACTCAGTCCCACAAATATAAATATTGTATAAGGCTGTTATTGTAGAATGAGTATAAGGATCCAGGATGGGTAGGAGAGGCTAGAAGCAGAGCGATGTGGATATACAAGGGGAAGAAGAGATTAATCATTGGGTTGCACAATTTGATGGGTTGGGGGTGAGGGAAATGGAAAGAATTTGTATTAGAATTTTGTAAATAAACTAGGGGAAAAAATAAAAATAAAAAAAGGTCTCCCACATCTCTCTGGCCTCCTCTTTCCCATCATATTGCTCCCCACGTAATCTCACTGTATTGACTCATTTCCATGTTTCTGATATGGGCCTTCAATTATCTGGCCCCTGGGTGCCAAGTACAAAGGAATGGGTGGGAAATAGTTGGATAAATAGATGGAAGGAAGGGAGTTTGGATGGAAGTGAAGGAGGGATATTTCTCTCAGTCAGACCATTCACGTCAGACTTCTTACTACTCTATCCAAAGTCTGTGGATTCTGGAGTCAAGGAGCCCAGGTTCTGAGCCCGATTCCAACCGTTCTGAACTACACTGCCTTGGTTTTCTCCTCTGGGATTTGGAAGGGGTGACACCAGCCCCCTCCTAGGGTTGCTGGGAGGATCCTGTGAAAAGTACTAACTACTCAGTGCCCTGAGATAGTTAGGAGTTCCCTGCAAGCTAACTTTCTCAGAATTCTTTCCTCTTGTGAGATGTTTTGTCCTCTGACCTTGGCAGAGTCTCTCTTTTGTCCAGATGAGGAAGTAAAGGTTTTATGAGGAAAATGTGCCTTGCCCAAGTCACAGAAAATCAGCCTAAATGGGAACAGGAGTTAGAGTTCGCCTTTCCTCTTCCCAGAAGCCCTCTGTGAGATGGTTTGATTAGTTCCAAAGGCTTGCTGGCCCGCTCCGTAAGGCCCTGCCCTGGTGTCGCTGGGTGTAGATGCAGTATACATTATTCCAGAAGCCTGGCTGGAGAGACTCCCTTTCTGGGATATGTCAGTCCTCGGCTAAGGCAACAGAGCCATGGTAGGACCAAGCAAAGACTCTTACAGCCCCTGCTTAGATGTGAACTTTGTCACACCTCATGTTCCACCGACTCAGTGGCCAAGCCTTAAATGGTGAGAGAAGCCCACGTCCCACTGAGCTGAAGGCTCTTCTGTTTGGAACCACCTGCCTCAGCCCAGTCATCTGGCTGGACGCCACCCCTCCTTTGTCTGCTCTAAGAGCAGGAAGCCTCACCAGGAGGTGTGGGTCCTGGCCCAGCTCCAGGTGCCCCCAGAAAGTGCCCACAGACTTGAGATTCATCAGGTGCAGCCAGCCCAGTGAGGCACATATCTCTGAAACCTCCGAACAGAGACAGATGCTATCGGGCCCCGCTTGGCCCGGCTTGGCCCTGGGCTCCTCTCCCAGACAGGGTGAGGGCAGGGACCCGTTAATCATTAATCTGGGGGGCAAATGGGTAAATTTCCAGTCCACCAGGCTGACACCTAAGCCTCTCCCTGTCGTCTGGCGGGAAAACCTCACAGCTTGAGCCATGGCAAAGAGATCCAGACCAGAACCCATGTCAACTCCAGCTGAGGAGGCTTCGCAGGACAAGTCTCCAGGGAGTAGGACAGCTTGGCGCTGTGGGGAGCAAAGAGGGAATCAGACAGCTTTTTAAGCCAGCAGCTTTCAAAAGTCTCCTCTGGGCCCCAGGAGCTGGTGTAAGGGGCAATTTCTGCCCATGACGATCCTATGTTCAGGGACTTCTTTTTTACAGTCCACTGACTGACAGGAGAAGCCAGGAGTGATGGCAATTTGACCAATGCAGTTGTTCACCCCTCAAGGCCTGGCTCAAACGTCATTTTTTTTAAGTGAAATTTTTTTCTTTTTTTAAAATTTTTATTTAATTTCTTTATTTTTCATTTCAATGAACATCTACAGAGATTTTGGAATTCCATTCATTCATTGTTGCACCCCTCTCCCCAGCCCCCCAACCCCCACCCCCCGTTTGCTCCTCTCCTTCAAACGCAAAAGAAAAATTCCCTCATTGGTATGTAATCCCCCACACACATCCCCCAATCCCCAAATATAATCCACTCTGCAACCCTCATTCCGTACTCTTACGATAAACATAATGCCCTAAAATATAAAATATTCTCTCCCCCAAAGACTTCAATGCCGTAAGCAAATTTCATCCAGTTTTTCTTAGTCTTACCCACATCCCGATGCCAGCCTCATTCTACAACAGTGGCACCATATAGCATTTGTCCCTCTGTGACTGAGATACCTCACTCAGCATAATGTCCTCCAGGGTCACCCATTTTGAATAATATTGCATGAGTTCCTTGTCAAATGTCATTTTAAGAACAGCTGTTGCTACTGTGCAGAAGAAAGGATCTAGGGAATCTGCTTCAGTAAATACGGTGGCCCAGGAAACTCTGTCATACAGGGTCTCCATGAATCCAGATCAAAACACCACCACTATCCTCCACTAACTGTAGGGGCTGCCTGAGAATTAGGGTGTAGATGTTGTGATTTTTGGTTGTTTGTTGTTTTTTTTTATTGTTACACGCCATCTAATTGGAAGTTGTTTGTTGTTTTTTTTTATTGTTACACGCCATCTAATTGGAACCGATTCGTAGCTGACCCTATCGAGGGTTTTCAGAGGCTGTAAATCACACTAGCAGAGACTGCCCATCTTTCTCCTGAGGAGTAGATGGTGGATTCAAACCATTTGTTTTGGTGTTGGCAGTGCAACTCCTTACCACCAAGCTACCAGCGCTCCCTATGTATTTCATAAACTGGACTTGATTTCGAGCCATTTGCACCTTACATGCAGCCACCACCCATGTGTCAGTGGAAGCTTGCATGTTGCTACAGAACTAAACAACTTTCTGCAGAGCACCCAGACTAGGACAGACTAGGCAGAAAGCCCTGGTCATGTACTTCTAAAAACCGCCTAATGAAAACCGTGGAGACAATGGGCCAGTCTGAAAGAACTGAGCGGTATCATATTCCATTGTGCATGGAGACAGTAGGTAGCAACAATATTATCATAGCTACCACTTGTTTATAGGTAGGGAGCTCTGGTGGCCTACTGTGTATAGATCTGTGCTGCCAACCCAAAGGCAAGTGGTTCGAATCCACCAATTGCTTCTTGGGAGAAAGGTGGGCACACTCCTCTTTTTACAGCCTCTGAAAACTCTTTGGGGGTTGTCGGTTCCAACTTGATAGCAATGAATTTGAGTTTCTTGAGTTTTGAAAGCTTGCTACCAAACTTTTCCCCCACTGCGCAACCTGCTTCAGTGTCTGCAGCCAATGCAAAGAGGTCAGGCATTGGTTCGGGGCAACGGTTGGCTCTGGCATGGAACACAAGGAGAGACTCATGGACTACTAAACTTTCAAAGTGATTATTGTGGATACCTAGTAGGTTAGTTGTCCCTTCCTTCTGTCTGGATGGTTGCTCTGGGCATCTGGTGGCCATCTTACACCACATGACCTTGCTGTTCTGGCCTGTTGATTGGACCAGTAACAATTACCTGACCCAAGGTGGGCCGAAAGATTCCTTCTCTGGGAATCTGGAAGGTGAATGAAGAGAAAACAATTACGTTTTCTCTGTAGGTCACTGAACCTGTAACATGGAAGACAGAGGAAGCTGGTCAAAAAGAGTGAGAAGGGAGGTCTGGTGGCTTGGTGGTAGGGAGTTGTGTAGCCAATCCAAAGAGAGAGAGAGAGAGACTTAAACAAATGTACAGACAGAAGTGGAGATGAGATCGGGCAAGTGCATTTGGGGAGTTTTCCAGGCCCTGGTGCCCCAGTGCTCCGAGGCCCTGCTGTGTTCTCCTGAGGTGCCCTCCAGTGCCAAGGCCAGTGGTTGGTGTGTCTAACAAGAGGTGGAGCCTCCACCCTCCTGTTGTTAACTGTAGCCACCAGGTCTCCCCAGGCTCACTGGGGAGTTAAACTCAGCAAACACCCTTTCACCATCAACAGCCACCTGTTATTCATTTCATGTAACAAGCCCTGTGATTGATGGCTCCGGGAGTCCAGTATAAAGTCGGTTAATTTTATTAGCAGTAATGACACTTAGCAGCGATTAATGGTGGGTAAAGGCAGCCAACCGCACCGGGACCTCAGGCCACGTCGGGCCCTGGTCTGCCCAGGGCTGTTCTCTAAGGGGACTGTCTGGTGCAATTTGGGAGGACAGACCAGGATACCTTCTAAGGCATCATTTCCCTCACATTTATTTTCCGTCGTTTAAGGAGCCCTGGTGTCCCAATGGTTAAGTGCTTGGAAGTGCACTGAAAGGTTGGAGATTGTAACACACCCAGTGGCATCCTGGGGAAAAAAGCCCTGGTTGATCAGCTCCTGTCAAGATTACAGCTAAGACAATCCCACAAGGCAGTTCTGCTCAGTGTCACGGGATACTGTGACTAGATAGTACCAACAACAACATTCTATTTGGAATCAAGTGTCCTTTGAAAAAACAGCAGCACAATGACATCAAAAGTAGAACAGGTTCAATCCATTGCCTTAAACAGTGCTGGGAGATCCTTCTACGTCTGCCCACCCCATGGTATCTATTGGGAAGGTTTCTTCCTGGACCTCAGAATTCTGGGGGGTTTGCAAGTTGTCACCCATTCCTGGCCCAGTGAACGTGACCCCTTCCCCTCAGTGAAGTCACATTCTCTGACTTCATGACTGAGAACCTCACCCATCAGTCTACATTTTTTTTTCCAATCTGGATGGCCCTCAAGTCAGCTGAGCATACAACCAAAAAAGATCAAAATTTCAATGGTCTTAGGAATCCAGACAAATCTAAGGGGCTTTAATGAAGACTACTACTTGGAAAAGTCGTGGGTTAGTAGAGGAGAGGATTGTCAACAGGTTAGATTGACACAGTGACCGCCACAATTGGCTTGAGCGTGGAAATTGTGAGGATGGCAAATGGCCTGGGCAAGGTTTCCATCTGTTGTTCACAGACAGGGTCGCTAGAAGTCAGAATCAACACAATGCCACCTAACAGCCATGAAGATACTGACCTGTGCTTGAGTCCGGGCTCTCGGCCCAATGTGGACCCAGCATTCAGATGGAAAGGGTAGGAGAGAGATCCTTTGCAAACTTGATAGCTGCTTTTCTGGTCTGAAGACAAGAGGCCCTCCAGGCAGCTGGTTGACTCACACGCTCTGAGCAGCCTGAGATGCCCCTCCTCCCCTGTGTTGAGTTGCATATCCTCTGTTGTAGCCTTTGTTTCCCCTTGTTTCTGGTTGACATCGAGCCTCTCTTTCCCCATTAGGAAATCAGCCATGTTACCAGGGACTCCCATCCCTGCCCTGGCCCATGCCCTCTCCTTTCTTCACCCTCATCTTGGCCCTTAGAGGTCAGGTTGGAAATAAGGTCAGATGCCCTCAACTCCCCAAGCGCATTGTCTCAGATACTTCTACTCCAGCCCGTACTGTCTCCCATAGTTGAGAAAAGCCAAGGATCCTCTCAAGTTTCCATCTCACGTGTCCCCCACTCCCACTGCTTTCAGCCACTCCTGACCCTCCCTGACTATGCCCCTTTCACACTTTCCAGCACTGACCCCCCCCTCCCCCCCCCCAGCTTCAAGGTTGATCCTGAAGAAAGAAGCACAAGAAGGCTCCCCAGGCTTTGAGAAAGCTTCGCTGGAGGCTGCTTTGGTCTGCAGTCAGACCGTCACACCCCTGAGAAGACGCGGAGCTCACCCTTGAAGAGTGTGACCCACTCCTGCTGGAGCATGGGCCCACAGACCTCAGGCCCTAAGGCTGTTCTCTGGCCCCAGAGACCTCTGCTCACCCCCCGAGTACAGACCAGTCAACAATTCACATCGCCTCGGAGCAGAACGGGGCGGGAGCCAAACTGCCTGGGTTCACATCCCACCTAAACCTCTCATTGATCTTACTGTTTGCATGAGGTTTCACACCTCCACGTACCTCTTCTGGAGAAGACAGGGTGGGCACGCAGATCAACGGAGCTAATTGAATAGAGCCGGGTAAGTGGTACGCTCCATGCATTTGTCATTACTGAGTTAGGTGCTATGCTGGGTGCTAGGGACACCATCCTGCCCTGAAGGAGCTCAGTCTGAGGGAAATATGGATTCAGGAGAATTTCAAACTCTCCAGAGGATCCAGGGAGCAAGAAGAGGAAGGAGCGGAGAGCAGCCTGCCTCCCAGAGAAGTGATCAATAGCTATGCTTCTTGGTGAGACCTTGACCTTGGCCAGTTTTGCCCTGCCTCCAGTAGGAAACCTAGGGTGGGAAGAGGCAAGAGGGAGCACTCCGGGAGCACAGCAGGCTGACTCGGGAACACTACACGGGGCCAGAGCATGTCTCATCGGTGAGGGGTGTCGCGGGCTCCGTGCTTTCATGGCCACCCTATCCTTGTTTCTGCTCCAGAAGGTCTGATAGCTCCAGAGGGGGCTGCCCCCAGGATGTGGCTGCTACAAGGCTGGTGGTTCCCAGGGCACCCAGAAATGCCAGCATGTCTGAGCCCTTAGCTGCGGGGCCAGGAGTTGTGCCCGGCACCAGGGCCCATGCCAACTACAGGCCACTGCCTGGGAACCAGGAAAGCTTTTCCCTGCCTGGATCGCTGGCCCAGCAAAGGCCCATTAGATGCTCCTGATAA